CATGCCGGATCGATTCCTCAATGCCTTCAGGGCGTCTGATCCCCCTCCCTTTCGTTCACACCACACGGCTGTTCACTTGGAATCACAGCCCTTTCACATTGAAAATAACCGGCTGCACGTATTTTTTCCTCAACAATTCCCTATAATTATCGACTAATTGACCGTCACTCCTTTCTATTGCATGTCAGCACGCGAAACTATAAAGCGTTTCAACGCTGTCGCCGCTAAAAATGACGAAAAGCTGAAAAAGTGAGTCTTTGAACTTTCTGTATTTTATTTGATATTTATCCTGTACTTACCCTTGAATACTATTTTGTGACTAACCTCAACCATCATGTATAGCAATAGCATAAAACGGCGATAGGCTAGGGAGAAATGGCGCTGCGGCCCAATGCATGATCAGGGAATTGAGTCATGGGTCGATTTTTATCGAGGCCAACCAAGTCCTCCATCCCTGACGAATCGGTATTTGAAAATATCAGTTCCTTCTTCTTCAGTATGAGAGAACGCTGACTTATTCATCGACCCACTGTGAAACAGACTACATCGTTGTGGGAACTTCCAAGGGAAAATTTAGAGAAATTCAGCTCCTGGAAATTTTCCAGTTGACGATTTGAAGAATTTTTCAATTACTGATTTTTTTCCTTCTCGGGCGCACAACTGCAGCGCCTACCATTTCGACAGCAATTTTTCCTGCTTTGAGGGAATTCTGCATTTTTTCTCTTTGAGACGTTGTGCCCCCCCCCCCCCTCACCCTACTCGTTGAGCCGACGTGAATTTTCGTGTTTGTAATAAGGGTGGTAAAGATGATGAAAAAGTCGAAGATTCATTAGCAATGATTCCAGATGATTGCTCTATTGCAACAATTTTTATAATTCTGATTTATTGTAATCATATGCTATTATTCTGGGTAAGAGTGAAGCTCGTGGCGCATCCGAAGAATTTCGAGGTTTAGCTCTGTCACTGGTGGATTACTATGGCTGAAGCATGTAACATTCAGAACTGTACCTTTATGATAATTGCTGCTTATCGTAAGAGTTCGGCTTTTGAGAGCTATCACGAAAATGCTTCTGGACAAAAAACCTGGATTGAAACCTTGAATCCGTACGCTACGCCTACGGGCTAGTTATGGCTTACTCATTAGGCTGAGAGGAGCTTTGTTCATCGGGCAATTCTTTCTCTATTTTAAACCCCTCTGCTGGTTGCTTCAGCATTGATATGTAAATAGTTTTGCTTTTTACTCCTTTCAGGTTGTTAGTGTTAGGTTGCACCCCTTTTATTGTCCCCATTTTGATGATATAGCAATGCTCTCCATCGCTCTATGAAATCTCAAAGCTCTACTTTCATTAATATTGCTTTTACTTTTACAGCTTCTGTTAGCATTGTTTAGGCTTTGGACTCTTCATACTTTCAAAAATTTTCCCAGAGTGACACTAACAAAACCAAAGGAGAAAATCCTCTCGCTGGAGAGTGTTTTCAAAATCAGTTTGTAGCATGAAAGAGGAGAATAGAAATGTGACTCTTATTAAGCACCATTTTTCCCATGCATTCATGCTCTATGGTGGCACCCTCTGGTATTAGGGTAGTTAGTAGGGTTTGCTTCTGAAAAAATTCCCATAGGGTTTTCTTTGTATATCTGGAAATGCAGTCAATTTCCAGGCTTCTCTGTCCCTGTCTCTCAACGAGATGAGCCGAACGGCATCTCTAAGGCAGGACAAAAAGCCCATCGGCTTGAACGACTCGAACAGCTGATGCGATAAATGATAAAGAAAAGCGGCGCCTTGTTCTAGAAGTGAAAACGGTATTCCATGGTGAATAGGCCAAACTTCCTCCTATCTCTACTTGACCTCTTGAAAGGACTGCCTTTCGTGTCCTGATGAAGGGCACCTCACAAGTGACTACCTTCCAGATGTCATTTCATTGGCCTTGTCAAGTGTCCGAGTAGTAGTAGTTGTAAAGTGCTCAGAGCAGAGATATTCAGAAAAATTTCTAGTCAGTTGTCAATCAAAGCCGTTTTTTATGCCTTGTGACCACTCAGACTTTTTGCAGCCTGCACAGAACCTGCAATCCGTACATCAGAATCATTTCGGC